TAGTGTTGTAATTGGCAATTTGTTAGAGTTTATTAGTTAGTATACAGGGTTCAAAGATAGTTAGAATTGAGTTTGTTAAAATAATAATATTGGATAGACTTGGGGTTTGGGTAGGGTGTCTGATTGCAACTGAGTATAAGAGGTCTAAATGATTGGTATTAAAGTTAAGAGTTTTGTCATTTGTGTTAACTTGACCAAAAAATTGGGTTGAGAGATTAGTAGAAATAACAATTGTACATTTGTTATTGATTATATATAAGTTAAGAGAACAACCAGGACATGCCTTTGATTGAATAGGTGCAAGTGGGTATAAGTGGGTAAATTGTGATTCAATTTGACATTACCACTAAGTAATAAGTACAGTGTCAGATTAGGAAGGTTGTCTTCTGGCTTTACTAGTAATAATTTGGTTATTAAGTACTGTAATAAGCCAGAGTTTTTTACGTGTTAAGAAGTATCCAGTTGTGTAGCTATAGTAGTTAGTGTCAGGTAGATGTAAGTATAAGTATAGTGTATGGTTATAGAAGTAACTTGTAACTTGGTCTTCTAAATAAGTAAACCAGAGAGGTTGTTTGCCTTTTGGAATTTTGTGGATATGAGAAGAAATTTGTTTTCAGTCCAGTAAACATGAATTATCAAATGTGATAAGTTGGTCTAAATATAGGATACCATGATATTTAAGTTGTTTTTTAAAGATTAGATATTTAGGATGTGAGCAGAGAAGAGATTCTAATAAGATAGAGCCCTCTTGAATAGTATGTAGAATGTTGTAAATTGGATTAGAAGTAAATGTTATACCGAGATGTTTGAAAAGTTGAATAATTTTAAAGTTAGTAGAATGTTTGTTTGGTTCATCAATAGTAGGATTATTGTGTATTAGTATGCTAGTAAGTGACCAAAGATTATTTTGAAGTTGCTAAAGTTGGATACAAGTGCTAATACCAAGAAGATCAGAAGAGTTAAGTCTTTTGGTATAGTTTGTAATATAGCAGTCAGGGAATTTTCCATATATGGTATTACCAAATACAGTTATAATCGACATTTTAGAAATAATATCAATATTCAGTAGTATAAAATTTTATTAAAATTTTATTGGTTACGATTATCAATATAGTATGTTCTATACTACTTGAAGCTTTAAAACAAACACACTATCAATTTTATTATAAGTTATGTATATAAAATATAGCAAACTATTATTTAATAAATTTTAAACCTTTTTAACTATGAAATCATTAACTTGTTCTAACTATACAACTCTAAATGCAGTTAATGAACACAGTATAGTTTCAAAAAAAAAAGTTTGCCCAAAATGAAATAAATGAGCTACCAATAAAAAAGATCTGAGCAGAGTAGTTGACATTTGTAACAATTTTTCAATCCACTTCATTGTTATTAGTTAATTCTCGAACTTGTTGTAGAATAACTAATAACTTATCTTTTTTTTCGATTTTAGCCCTTTGAATTGTGATCAATTAGTATCATTTAAAAATCCAATTAATGATTCGATTACCAATATTAGCTCTTCCTTTTTTATTAAACTTTCTGCTAATTGTACTTGTTCTTCATCAGCAATAATAAGAATAGGCTTGTTAATTAATAGTTTCTTTGAATTTAATTTTTCATTGATGTAATTTATGTGCTGGGCTTGAGCTATGGTACTAAATGATTTTATTTCTTCGTTTAGTTTATTACATCCATCTAAACTCTCAAAAAAATGATTTTCAATTGGATTTAGAAACTTATTTTTTTTTAATTGAACTCAAAATAATTGTGATTCTGTTTCATAATCTGGACGATGTCATGAACCAAGGCTTTTAGTATCTGTATATCCAATTGTAGCAAATAACCTCCTTCGCAACTATTACCAAGAATAAACATTAATATAAAGAAACAATGAGTAGCATGCCAAAACCCAAAAATTCAACATATCAAATAGCATATAATAGATATGCTATTTGACTCCTATTTGAAATTTCATAGACATGCATGTTTACAAGACTGCATGATAATTAAGTTATATATTTAAAATAACAAGTTTTATTGTAAGTCAAATTTTGAATGTTGATTAATATATATAATGAAATTTTTATTTACTTTTATAAATTTTATACAATTTCTTGCTGCCATTTTCCAATGTTTTTAAGTTGGTATAGGTGGGATAAGCATCTTTAGCATTTTGTTTACTTCTTCAAGTATAGCATCCAATCCTTGGTGCTGATTTGACCATTCTGATTATAATACAACTGAATTCAGTTTAATAAGTTTTTGAATTTCAGAATGAAGATGCATTAGCTGTTCCTCATTAGCTACTTTGATCTCTTGTTAAATAGGATGTCATCTGGCAAACCAAATAGGAGCAAATACTCTACAAGCTGCTGATCTAAGTAATGGTTTATTATGTCTAACTCCATTACAAAACTTTATAATGGCTTGCAAATACAGAAAGATCTAAAAAAAAATTTAAGTATTAGTTAATTTAAATTTTTAATATTTAGAATTATGAATTGTTATAATACCTGTTCATATTTTAATTTATATAATTCATTTTTTGGATTTTTAGCCCATTCAAGATATCTATTAACAGTTGGATTAGAGTTTGAAACTATATAAGGCCAAACTAATTTCATAGCCATCGCATGTCAATAAATATTACAAATTGAATCCCATGCTTTATGATGATTTGCACATTTTTTAAAATATTCTAGCTGATTTTCTGTTCTGTATTCTTGATTTTGCACAAAATATCATAGATTAATAGCCCTAGATTTTATATCAAGATTGTAAAATTAGACTAGTTGAAATAGAACAGAACTAATGTCAACATACCAATTTAATTCTACAAAGAATTTTAACATATTTATTTCTTCATGAAGTGGACCAGGTATTAAAATAATTTCTGGATAGTTATTTTTAAATTTTTGTGCATAGTGATAAAGAATTACATCACAAACTACTGCAATCCATTTTTACTCACTCTTATTAATTCTACTAATTTCTTTAATATGATCTAGGATCTTTTAAACATTTGTGATAGAATTAGGGTTTATTGGTAAAGGGTCTAGAACAAGAATATCAGGTACATTAACATTGTTCTAAGATTCAGATATTTGAGTTATACTAAGTGGATTAGTTAAATTTATAGAATTCTTAGAAGTTTTAGGATTACAGGATTTAAAAATTAAAAGTTTAATTATATCCTTTTCTTGAGGTATCATTGGATTAGTTTTCTCGTGAATTTTAGCTAGTGTAGGAAGTTTTGCATTGCAGTAAGGGTATTTATGTTTAGAATTTTCAATATCACTCTTGCCACATTCATAACACTTTTTTTTCTATCAATTTTTATATTTTGGTTTTCAATTAAATTATCAATAGTCTCAAAAAAATCTAAAACCTGGTTACTTATATATACTGACAGTGAAATCATCATTGGCAAAATCTGCAGACATTTTAAAAATACTAATCAAATATTTATTACATACTGGCAAACAAACATTGATATAAATCACTCTGGCTATTATCCTCTTTTACCAACCCAAAGCTCACCTTGTCCAGGCTGCCATTTAAACTCCAACAGAATTCAGAATTTATGTACAATTAATGTATCA